AAATTCAAAAAGGAATTCAAGAAACATATACTCCTGTAATATTGACATCATATGTCATTTTAATGGTTTTCTTGTACAATTACTATAGTTTTCCATTGGGTACCTAACAGAGTCAATTCAGAATCATTTTCTGTTGAGCTTAAAAAAAAACAAATGATTTCTTCTTGAGTGTGAGTCTTATTTTACTGTTTTATTTATTTTGTCAAATATATCTATATATTCACCATGTTCCCTGCTATAAAAAACATCATTTCTTGGGAAGAATAAATTTGATTGATTGATATTGAATATTGATAGAGATTTGAAATCATACACTACAAAATAGCAAAACTTGTCTATATTTGATTTCATTGACATGGAAATGTTCAACCAACCATGTAATACACAGAATCAAAAGTATTTTCATCATGTAATTGTAATTTTCCTATGATATATGAGATGACAATATGTATACATGTGTGCATAAAGAATAGGAAATCAATATCAGGAAATAGCTGGAAAAAAATGTTTACAAATTGCACATTGAAAATAAAGAGTTCCTAGAAGAAATCATATAATTGCAAGGTGATTTTGAAATGAGTACATATATATCAAACACATGAATATGATAAAGTTGTGACAAGTATTCCCAAAACATTAGATTTTGTATAAGTCTTCTATTTGAGGAGACATTCCATCTTGAAAAAAAAAATTTATTGAATCAAGTATATAATGTACAACCAACATAGGTCATAGGCTATCAACCAAAGTCTATTTCTTGAAAATTGATAAAAAATACAATAAGTTCTTTTCTGGTATAAGTTCATGTTGAGGATCATCATCAATATCCTTAATTTCCATGATTTCAGGTGGGATACAAGATTGGGAGGTGGAAGGTTCTTCAATGGGAATAGTAGGACTTTCATCCATACATACATCATCACAGAGGCTACAAATGGAAGGAAGTTAATTTCAATGTCAATTTATCATCATTTATTTGGTTTATTTATTGATATACAGGGTGTCCTGATTTTACAAAATGATACCATAGACAAGCATAGACTACTGAGATCAAAATGAGATAATTGAACTTATTTCACCTCTATATCAAATTGCTTTGTTTTTCATGCTTTGGTACCCTTTAAAATTATTTAATAATTTCAGGTAAGTACCAATTTCCTTTTCAAAGAGAATCATAGATGATATCTGATATTTAGGACATTTTAGGAATTTGAAATACTGTGTAGAATTATGTATTACATATTTATTTCAACGCCCTGTAGGGGCTAACCAATACATTTTGGTATAGAGGTTGAAGTTTAGTCCAATTATCTTATTATGGTCTCAGTAGTCTGTGTGTGGTATCATTTTTCATTTGATTAGAGTAACCTAGGGTAGTAAATGTAATTAATGTGTTTTCTCCCACATTTTTGTAATATGTAAGTATTTTATATTTATATATCAAAATATCAACTAGATCTCCAATATATTTTACTGAAATATGTATGTGTATGCTGGTGTTATTGTATCATATTATTATTATTGAAATAAATATATTTTTTCAAATACTGTCTGTAGTTTAATCAAGGAGGTGCAGTACATTCATTATTCCAGATTTTTTTGGGTTGTCTCCTTGTTTCTATGGAATAAAAATATGTATATTATTTCAATATACCTGTAGTAAGGACAAATCAGATGATTTGTCCCAAAATGTAACTGCCTAAAGAATTTTCCTATCAGAGAACCTAAAAGAAAAATTCACTAGCTTGTCAGTGACAATTTGTATTGAAAAAAGTTTGAAGAGAAATAAAGGTATGTATATATAGAAAAAATAACAAATTTTTACTTAGCTTTGGACGTTTGGGAAACGAATCTGCTCCTGTTTTCAACATAAAAAAAATGGATATTTGAATATCAAATTCATATTGCACTTGACATAAGTTACAGGATGTTTTCATTAATAAATCTTGAATTTACCATTTTCATTGATAGAACATGGTATTCACTTCTGAAATCTGAAGATGAAAATGGTAAATTCAAGATTAATTAATGAAAACATCCTGTAACTTATGTCAAGTGCAATATGAATTTGATATTCAAATATCCATTTTTTTTATGTTGAAAACAGGAGCAGATTCGTTTCCCAAACGTCCAAAGCTAAGTAAAAATTTGTTATTTTTTCTATATATACATACCTTTATTTCTCTTCAAACTTTTTTCAATACAAATTGTCACTGACAAGCTAGTGAATTTTTCTTTTAGGCTCTCTGATAGGAAAATTCTTTAGACACAGTGACATTTTTGGGCAAATCATCTGATTTGTCCTTACTACACATATATTGGAATAATATTCATATTTTTATTTCATAGAAATGAGAGAAAATTCCAGTAAATCTGGAATAATGTGAATATTTTTTTTACTTTCAATAGTCATATTAAAATAAAGGGAAGTTTTAGGTCCATTGGAGACACTCCCTATGATCATCTCTAGGGTAGTTGTGTAATTTTATTTTTGAATAAAGGATAATAGGTACCTTGATCCTATTACAGTATCCTCAACTGTTAGTTCCATCAGACTTGTTGGGTCATTATTTTCTGTTATAGGTTCAGGTTGAGGAGATGGGATACCAGCATCAATTTGGGTATTTTCCATATTTTTTTCAGGTGAGGTACATGATTGGGAGGTGGAAGGTTCTTGAATTGAAATATAAGGACTTTCATCCATACATAAATCATCATAGAGTCTAAAAAAGGAAGAAAATCAATTTCAATGTCAAGATCTACAAGTATTTTTTTATTATTCTATAAATAATAAATAATTACAAAATTTTACAAGCTACAGCTAGGCTATGTAATAATTAGTTTAGAAAATCTAAAGCACTCTTTATTGAAAGAGTTTTAATATCATTCTTGAAAATAGTGCATTTTCTTAATTACTGTTCTTGCAAGCCTTCAAAAAGCAGTGTAATTTATAATGAAAATATCAATGGTTTTCTGATGGGAGACCACAGGACTCAGCAAGGCTAACAAACAAATACTTCTACTACAAATATGCTCACCAAATTTCAAGAAGATTCTCCAGATATATGATGTAGTATAACATTTTTTTAACTTCAAACCATCTGTTGAAAACAAAGCATTTGAAATCTATATTTATATGTTTTTTTTCTTATTTTAATGAGTAATATGACCTATTGAAGTTTGGTAGGTCATATTTATTTTGAGAATGAATATTTTTTTTATTTTAGGAATGTATAATAATGACCAAGACTATCAAATAATAAAATAGGTTTGGAATTTCAAATTAGAATGAAAACTAATTCATATATTTCTATGAATATTCTAATAGACTCCAAGAAGATGATATGGTGTCTTTTGCTTTGATTTTCTCCAATTAGAAACATTGTATTTATTGATTGATAAAAAGGAATACTCTGTTGTTCCTGTTTTTTTTGCAACCTAACCTACCACTTAAGTATATAATAAAAATAATATGAAAAATATTACAGTTTGGAGGGCAAAGCAGATTTTTTCAGCTTTTTCATGCCTTGACATTCTGGGGGATATGCCTGGAGCATATTCGACCACTAGGTGGTAAGTGTTTGCCAACTGCATCAGCCCACTTTTGTCGAACATTATCCTCCTATGAAAGTATAAAGTATAATGATATATGAAAAAATGAAATGCAAAGTTAGAACTAAATTCGATAAACATGCAAATATTCACCTTGGGTACCCTGTACAAATGCAGGGAATGGCCTGTACCTGTTTGAGATTGTCCACAAACTATGCAATAGTACATGATGTTCATAGAGAATTAAAACACAACAAAAACTGAATACAACACTGAACTATGAATAACGACAACGCGGAAAACAACAACAAGAACTAGAAACAACAAAACTCGAAAATAATAGGGATTAACACTGATAGGACTAAAACACTGGAAACACTCAAAAGAAGAACTGCAGACTGTAGAGAGAATACGACAGAAAAACTAGGAATCGGAATGAATCCACACTAATTTTGAATTCGAAATTCAAATCGATAAATTTGACAATCAACGACCTTGACAACAGGCACACAGAACTGCAGATAATTAACAAGGTTGGTAGAACGATGATTTATTGCCGCGACGCCCTCTACAGGTGATTTCTGAACTATGGCCAATAATCCATCGACACTTTTTGACGAAAAACAATTGACAAGTGGAAACACCATAGTTATAAACATCTCAACTCAAACGGACATTAGCACAAAGCAAGGAACGCTACGAAGGCACGGAAAGAAAAAGAGCAATTTTAACCTCAATACCCTCTTTACCAAACAAAAGTCACTTAAGCGGGAAATTTATTCACCAAAATACTAGTGTTAGGCATTTTCTTTGTTTCAGGTGAAAAAGCTGAAAGATGTCCATGTCTGAAAGATACACAGAGTGGTTAAGTACAATAATACGTATCTGCTTGTTTTGATTCATTCTATGTGGAAAATCTAGTATTGGAGTTGAAATACTTGTGTTAAAATGGCTGAGTTCAATTCCCTTTGTGAGAAATATTATGGATGTTGTGATTTCTATGAAATTTTGAAAGTAGATCGCAATGCCTCCGAAAAATAAAGTTAAGTACAAATACCAAAAGTACCTATTTTTTCATAAATTTTACGAAAAATGTAGTCTCGATGGCTCAATTTTTGAATGAAAATGTTTTTTTTCTTTAATTCAAAAAAATTGATCAAAATCAAACAAAAAAACAAAAAATAAATGATAAAAATCAAAAGGGTCCAAAAACGCTCGAATACGTGTCGAATATTTTTCAATTCTCTATAAGTAATATAACATCAAAATCTCCATTTCTTTTTCTGTTTTTTTTTGAAATTCCAAAAAAACTATTAAATTTGAAAAAACGTCAAAACGCTCGAACACGTGTCGAATATTTTTCGATTCTCTATGACATGAAAATCTCGATTTTTTTATTTTGCTTTTTTTTTGGAATTTCAAAAAAATATAAGATTCGAAAAAAATGTCAAAACGCTCGAACCCATTATCCATTATTTTCTATTTCTCGATCATATGACATCATAAACTCGACTTTTTTTTTGATGAAAAACTTAAGCTCATATTTTGAAAACGGCACGGTAAAAGCATTCAGATTCACCACCAAAGACGTGTCGCACTCCCATTTCGATCCGCCACTAAATATGCTACTAACCTAACCTAACCTGAAAAAAGTTGAAACCAACAAGAGATCTATAATATATGCCTCATATCAATATTACATAATATTATATTCCACAGAAAATATCGAAATTCTCCTGCTGAAAGCTCTCAAACTTGACAAGAATGCTCTATATCCTTCTCTTGTTGCCTTAGAAAAGAGTTTGAAATTTTCATCTAATGTGGAAGGATGCAACGAGAGAGACAGGGCAGTGAACAGAAAATACAAAAATACCTGAAAAAGTAGGGTCACATTGATTTTCTTTAGGCTACGATTAGTTCCGACACCTTCAAGGTATACAAAAAATACTGTTCATTCCAAACTTCTAGGTTTCCGACCCTCTCTGAAATTTCGATTATTTCATCAGAAGTAACTATTGGGAGTGACTGACAACAGGAGAATTTCAGTTGTCTTTTCAATCTCATAGTCTCTGAACAAATCAATAATTTTTATATTAATGTGAAACGTGGGCATGTATGTATGTACCTATCTTTTATAACATTCTGGACTACAAGGTGATGAACACAGTGAAAATAAGTTCAAAAAGAAACAACTAATACAAATCAGCAAACGTGCTGATGAACAACAATTATTATCGTATAACAATATTTTTAAACGACAGTTTTTATGTAACTCTCAAGTACAGATGAACACATTAAGAATGAATATTCTATAATACAATAATACACTGATTCGCGGAAAATACTAATTTCAGATGCTTCAAAATATGTCCCTACCTCTGCAGGTCCTCCCCATATATAACTTCAGATGCTTTCACTAAGTTTTTACTGCCGCTATGAAAAGATAAATTACCTCAGTTGTGTCGCGCTTAGAATTTTGTCATTTTCAAAAATGTGTACTGTGCTGATTTTCGTTTTTATTGCTGCAGCTAGTTGCGAATTCGTCAAAAATGAAACTTTCGAAACTCGTGAGTATTTTTGCTTTACGAATTTTTAATGAAATTGTCACAAATAGTTGTAATAATCTTAATTCACCTACATAAACACAAAGTGAAAAGATTTTTTTAAATAAAAAAAAAAATAATATGAACCTAGTACTTTTTTCATTTCACTGCATTTTAATTTGAATGAGTATTTCAATACATATTAGACATTCATTGCCCTCAGTCTATTTTTGGAAATGTGTGAAATTTCCGAGGAAATTTCAGTTATTTGAAAATTTGGATGGGTCAAAATAAATAACCCATTACAAGTTCTCACATTTACAAACGTGTGAATTGATATGCTACTAGGTAATGCAAAATAGTAGATTCAACTAATAATTGATCAATAAGATTTATTTGCATTCATTTATCTGCTCGATCATATACTCCTTTTATTTTTCAATAGGTTTTTGATTCTTACTTGACCAATAATGAGGGTCTTATAAATTGGCCCTAACAATTTCAAATCATAAAACCGACTGATACTATGTTTTGATAAAAATGCAAATTTTTATAAAACAGCGAGAGGAATAATTAGTGATTTATACTCCAAAGTAGTAAAGAATATCATTACTACCCAGAGGCCAATATTATAACACGAGGCTTCAGCCGAGGGGTATTATAAGGTCCCGTGGTGATGAAATTCTTTACTACCAAGGTGAATATCAATTTTTTTCACAGCTAACAATATACGTAAGTACATACATATGTAGTATTTCAATCATTATATATACCATAGATTAAAGAGTGAAATTATATATGGACCTATTGTCACAATAAAAGCACTTATTTTCAATTCTGATCAGAATATAGTGGCCATGACATGACCATGACAGCATATGACAAGTCAATATTGATAAATACCGGGTGACACAGGTTATCGGGCCACCCCTGTAACTTTTGCATTCGTCAACGGATTTTTCTGAAATTCGGTACACTTATATAAGCAACTATTTCGGATTTGATCACATTACAATCCAATACGACGGACTTCCGGTTTTTCTGGAAATGCCAGCAATTTTGTTATTTCAAATGGAACACCCTGCATTTTTTTACATATCGTCGGCGAACTGACAATACCTGCTAAGTGCAATATAGTGCAGAGCAGGTTTTTTTACAGGAGATGAATAAAACATAATCGAGTAACAGGTCAAGTCGATAGCAGATATTGTTTTCCTTCAATGAAGTAAACAAAGGATTCATCTGGAGGTAGCAGTTCATTTCAGATTGTGCGCAATGAATATTGAAAGCTATAACTGCATGAAATACCAATATTTGAAAAAAATGTTACTTAGCAGGTATTGTCAGATCGCCGACGATATTCAAGTTCAACAGGTCAAAAAAAGTGCAATCTTGATGTTAAATGTCATTTATTCCACAGCCTACCTAGTTGAAAAATTATTCTAACTGCAAGGAAATTCATGAACTAGTTGTTGATTTTTGAATGTATACAATTTGTTACTGCACCGAAAAATAAAAATGATATTTCAATATGTATGTTCTAGAGAAACGGGTAGGTGGCCCATAGGGGTTCCATTTGAAAAAAGAATAATTTTTGATCAAAAAGTGATGTGGCTGAATTGATTCCTGGATAAGTGACACAAAAAATAATTTTTCAGAAAAAAATATGTTCTTTTGTTATGTGTGACTCATTGTGAATAGTCTCGACCACATCTCATTTATATACGAGGTAAAATGAAAAAACAATTTTAATTTAAATTTTTTCGAAAAAATGACATTTGAAAATTTGAAATGAAGATTGCACTTGTCTCGACCTGTTGAACTTGAATATTTAAAAATATACATAGCGTTTCATTTGAAAAAACAAAGTTGCTGGCGTTTCCAGAAATACCGGAAGTCCGCCATATTGGATTGTTATGTGATCAAATCCGAAATAATTGCTTATATAACTGTACCGAATTCCAGAAAAATCCGTTGACGAATGCAGAAGTTACAGGGGTGGCCCGATACCCTGTGTCACCCGGTATACCTATACCTACTAAAAAAAATGTGCCATTCCAGCGAATCTCGCATCAGAACAGTGGATTCGGGTTAATTTTGACAGAGGTATGGCTATGTCTTTTATTGAAAATGAGAAAATTATGGTAGGTTCTATAGTAAGTGGTGGAAAAAACTGTTTAGGTATGTATATGTACCTAAACCTTCATCAAACGAGTGTAGGCGTGCATTTAACTATAGGGATAATGAATTATTCAGAAGAAACCTATTTAAACAAGGAATACCACTGTCTGTGCAAGAAACTTTCACTACTTACCTAAGTATGTCTTGTAAGTTATATAATACTATAGTCTTGGTTGGTGACCTACATTTCTTCAATCCGTACGCGATGAATTCGAATGCAAGAATACAATTAACATACATTTGATTCGGTAATAATATTATGTATTCGGCAACCATAACGTTGTATAATATTTTGGGCAATATGAGGATTGGAATTATATTCAAATTTACAGACGGCCTGTGCATTTTATGCATATTTTATCTTCAGGGAAAAAAGTGGTACCTACTTTAAATCCCTAGGGATTTGAGTATATTTCTAGACTCGTTTCTAGACTAGATGTTCGGCCCCGTTTCCACCGGTTGGTGTACCCATTTAAAATAAATTAAAAGTAAAAAAAAAACTTTTTAATAAAAAGCTTTTATTTAAACGCTCTAAAAAGAAGAAAACAAAATTTTTCTTAATAATTTTAACTATCAACTTATAACCTCATTATACACAATTTATATGATCATAAAAGTTTGTCCCGCGATTCACTTGTGTGAATGAACTAGTACTTATTTAATTATGTAAAACCTGCTGAGATAAAATCTTTGAAATTACAATTTAATCAAATATTGATCATCGCGACAAGCTCTCATGATCATATAAATTGTGTATAATGAGGTTATAAGTTGATAGTTAAAATTATTGAGAAAAATTTCATTTTCTTCTTCTAGAGCGTTTAAATAAAAGCTTTTTATTAAAAAGCTTTTTTTTACTTCTAATTTATTTTGTAATTTTTAGTTATCGCTAGCTGGATTTTTCGATTTACTCTCAACGAGCCTTTTCATTTGATACCCATATTGTAGAAGTAGATTAAAAATGACCATTCCGCCATCTTGGATAGTCCGCCATAATAGATTTAGAATAACGTCACATTATTTTTCGAGTTACTCTCAACGAGCCTTTTCATTTGATACCCATATTGTAAAAGTTTATCAAAAATAGCTATTCCGCCATCTTGGATAGTCTTATCGTGCATTGTCATCCATACTGAACGTGTATACAAAATTTCAGCTCAATCGGTTGAAGATTTCTACTTCAAAATTGAGTTCAAAGATTCCACCCGAACATACATACTATTACATACAAACATACAATGCAAGTTAAATAAATGCTTTTAATAATGAAATTTCAATTTAAAATCCAGATAGCGCGTCCTTATTCGATAGTTTTCCGTTAAAAATATTTCTTCATGAAAATCATTTCGATTTCATCCTCATTATTTTTTTTACAGCCGAATATATACTGCCTTGTCACAAAGCGGACCCGAACATTAACAAGTGTCTAGCCAAAACATTCAACCACCTCCGGCCCTACTTGAAAGAGGGGATAAAAGAGTTAGACGTCCCGAGCATTGATCCACTCATTATTGAAAATCTGCTCATGGAAAATGGACGAGGAGCTTTTCGAATCAAAGCTGCTTTTTACAACATTTCCACGAATGGAGCAAGCAATTACAGCGTGGGAAGCATCAAGTGCGTCAACACCTCTAAAAACCCTTTATATTAATAATTGGTTTATGGTTCAAATATACATGGCGCAAATCAGTTTTCAACAATTTAGCTACGGTTCGAATAACGAATTGCACTCAAAATGTTGCTTTCTTATTTCAGAACCGATCTCGACAACTACATTATCGAATTAGGTGTCATTTTACCAAGGCTCGAAGTAAAAGGAAAATATGATGTCAATGGAAATGTTCTATTATTCCCAGTAAAAACACGAGGTGATTTCTGGGCTGTTTTTTGTAAGTCAATTTCCAATTTGCCGAATGAATATGTGGTACAAACTATATATATAAATATTTTATTTATTAATATATTTCAGTGGATGTTCAAGGAGCAGCCAAAATTTTTGGCAAAGAATTTCAGAACAATGAAAATGTGAGATTCATGAAAGTTGACAAAATAATGATAGATTTTCGACTGAAAAAAAGTCGTTTCCGAATAAAAGATGTAGTGAATCATGGAAATGTGATAGGTAATTGAATCTGCAAAACGAATGGAATGAAACAGAAACAAATTTATTATTCATTACAATATTTTATCGGCTCTCATCTGTTCAAGTTTGTGTTAAAGCTAATGAATTTTCTCGTTAATTTATTTTCAATATTGTCATGGCCATATTATTATTATTCACATTTTTCAATATTGTCATCAATTCTTCTATAAAGAGCATTACTACAATTCGAATAATCATCGATTCATATTTTTTATTGATTACCTATAACGTATATACAAGGTGATCCAACGAAAACTTTACACTCCGATTTTAAGGCTTCAAAATGAAAATCCGAAAAATGCTCGGACCTGTCGATTTATGATTCAAGGGGTAACGACTTGTCTGCTTTCTTCATCCCCAGGGGACGACATCCCACGGATTTTGGATAGGGATAAGGGGTGTTGCGATACCTCATTTTGAAGATTTCATGAAGTACTATCCGACCCTCTAACTTCGCATCAAAATTTTCATCCATAACGAAATGAGAGATAAAATAGTATAAAAGAGGCAATGCCGCATTTACCTCGAAAATATTATTCTTATTAAAATAGTATTCTCATATAGTTATTTATTATAGAGGGGAAAAAAGTAGTAGATTTTAGCTCCAGGTCTTGTTAATTGTCTCCCGACGCTTGCGACAGGAAAAGGACGAATCAATATTAAGATGATATATATTGAAATCAGAAAATTATCTTCGTGAAATTAGAGGGTCGGCTAGTACTCTATGAAATCTTCAAAATGAGGTATCGCGACACTCCTCGTCCCTATTCTGAAATCCTGTTGGAGTGCTTCCCCCTTGGTAGGGTGTTGAAGTTATGGGGATGGGGCCAAGCCAAAGACAAGAATTCGCGGCAGGCAGAAATTGTCATTGCGTAAAAAAACTGATAGCAAGAGTTAACAGGGAAAACCATTGCAATCTACTCGGATAGCCAGACGGCAATCAAAGCAGTTAACTCAATGCAAGTTAACTCAAAACTAGTCTGGGACTGCCTAGAAAAAACCCTGAACTATGGGCAGTCAGAACATGCACTGACTTTGACATGAGTACCAGCACACACGGGGTACGAGGGCAACGAAGAGGCAGATTCACTAGCCCGAGCTCCGAATGGCCCAGAACAGTGTTGCCACAACGGGCACACCAACATATTTTGAATTCATCAGAACAACACATAAACCAAACCCACCAAACGGAAATTTCGGAATGGATTATGCTGGGATTATGCCAAAAATAAATTGAAGGGGGGAATCAGTTTTTATTTGCAAAACGCCATTCAGATATGTATACATATAGAGAACAGGTCCGTAAATGAATGGTTATCGCTACAACCGCATGTTGAAATTTCATAAAATAATCAGTTTTTACTAGATTAATATCCAGCGAATGAGTTTGTACCAAATATGGCCTTATATTGGGAATGTTTATGTACCAACCTACATTTGAGGAACAACGCTGGGCACAACAAACATATGACTACTATATTTTATTTGCCTATGGAGCCTCATAGAAAAGGCGAGGGTATCTAAAGAACTCTTAAACGATTTTGAGGGCAGACATAATAGATCTGAGGAAAAGGTCACGGTGTGGAGGCAGATAGTCCGAAGGCTCCTTTTTAATATAATCTGATCTACGTGGATAAAGAAAGCAGACAAGTCGTTCCTTCTCGGGTCCGAGCGTTTTTCCGGATTTTCATTTCGTTCATTGTACCAGTATATCACCTGACGAAGCTATTGTGTTAGCGAAGCATGTCGTGTGTTTGAGAATTTTGTAGAAATCTTATCGTTTGTGAAGTTTTTGCATTTCATTTTAATGCTCTAAAATCCTAAAATCGTTGGACCACCCTGTACATATATTATAATGTATATTTCGAATATATAATACCGTGTCATTGAAATATTCCAATCATGATAGATACTTTTCCAGAATTTATTGATAATAAGGTGAATTCATTGAATTTGTGAACAAATCATAAAAAAGTTGATCCCTTTACGTGTTCATTAGGTATGTATCTGTTTACCAAAACTATGTTCGGAAATGCGATTACCTAAACAAAAACTATGATATTTTAGGAGAGGCCATGAATCAATTCCTGAATAACAATGCCAATGAATTGATCAGCGAGATGAAACCTGCAGCAAACGCAGCGATTGCGAAGCATTTTAAGGGGTTCCTGAATGGCGCTTTCACCAAATTACCACTAAAAGTATGGCTACCTGATGCGTGATTCCTGAAAATTCAAATTTGTAGAAAAATTCACGATTATCTAGGCACGGGTATGAATTATGATGACGATGAGTAGGTAGCTTGGTCGTACAAGTTACAAGAACAAAAAATATTGTTTTTGCAGATAGCACGATTTATTGGGATAATACGAGTATAAATCACGAAATTTCTCTGGTAAAATTATTGATTTCGTAATCAATCATGATCTGATTCTAAGACTATAGGAAATAAAACGAGTATGAATATTACTTTACACAAACATAATATTTTTAGTGTATATTGTATCGTATTCGAGGATGTATGATATATATAGTTATAGACATCAATCAAAAACCGTACCTCATATATAATTCACCTCAATTCTATATTGTATTCATCAAGAAATCAAACTGGCGATGAACTTATAATGTCTTCGAAACGTACGTATATGCCACCATATCAGCCGGATTTGAATTCCGATTGATATACGTATACCCTAAATACAGGGTGTCCGGAAAGGTGGATGTCGTAAATGAAAGGGCTGATAGAGTGAGCCAAAATAATGTTACTACTTCATAGAAGAGAATTTCTATCGCGCTTCGTTACGGAGTTATTGACTTAGTTAGGATGAAAACATGATTTTTATGTAGTCGCGGTAGTCAAGGTCACATCATATGACGTTGCGATGACATGAGAACTACGAGAAAACAGTCCTAACTCCTGGCTTAGATTGAAAGTTAGACATGTTTTCCCCTAGTTTTCATGTCATCGCAAAATCAGGTGATGAGCTTGACTACCGTCAAACTTTAAAACGGTTTGCCATGGTAACAATGATATTCGGGCAGGTAAATAAACTCATACTATTGCTCCTTTCAATGCGTAAACGGCTTTCCAGTCAATATGATTTATACAGGATGGGACGAATTTTTTCCTTTTGATGAAGGCATTTTTGACACAGGTGACAAATTTCACATTTTGCTTCCACCGTTTGATTCCTTCATCTTTTATGGTATGGTATTTTTATCGATATCTTTTTCCGTTCTAGAGAAAATCGCATTTCAAAACATACATTATAACCGTTTCAGAGGTAATGAAAGCTCCGTTTATTTGATGACAGTGAACACAAAAAGATTATCAAAAATGGTTTTCAATATGTGCATCTTGAACTTCAAAGCATTTTCTAGTTTTCTAATCATGTAAGAATTCGATTCAGAAGCTCATCCCTAATATTTACAGGTGTTTCATAGACTAAACATTCAAGATAGCCAGCCTCAAAGAAATTAATCAAGTAGATTAAGATCAGGTGACCGAGGTGGCCATGGAAAAGGACCATGGAGAAATGTGATGTTCAAATGATGGGGAGGCGCACCATCGTGCATCAGCCACACATATCACTTCGAATATTCAAAAGAACCTCTTATTCTAACGACGAATCTGGATTTTCTCGAAAATTTAAAAACATTAGAAGTTCCATCAATGACATGAGATCCATGTTTTGAAATGCGATTTTCTCTAGAACGGAACAAGATATCGATTAAAATAAAGTATACAATATTTTAACTTTATATAGGGTCAATAACTCCGTAAAGAAGCGCGGTAGACATTTTTTTATATAAAGTACTAATATTAGTTCGGTCCTTGATTATATACACTAGTGTGAATACTCAATGGTTTGGCTCACCTATCATCCCTTACATTTACGACATGACCTTTCCGGACATCCTGTATAATAAGTAAATGCTATTCCTATTGGCTTACTTTTTGAAAGTATTCAATTCGAGATATGCGATGATAAAACCCGTATATTATATATATGCACCTGATAAAACGTACATTTTATGTTCATTTTTATAATATCCTATCTCGATAACGAAGTATAAACATCATTAACAAAAATTCTGATGTCTTCAATAAAATAGACATTCAAAATTCGGAAAAAAATTGTTAAATCATGAGTATCTACCTATATATATAGGTATATAATATTATATCCAACAAATCAAAAAATGTAAAGCCAAAGCAAGAAGATGAACGTAGAATACTATACATATTATGTATACCTAGTAATTAATTTTGTAATAAAAAAAGAAAAAAACTCAGGTGTTTTTTTTTAATTCAAACGATTGCACTCGAACACTAAGTATACTGTGCTATTAACTACCATTTTGTATAATATGTTGCTATATATATACATATAACTAACTATATATACAGGGTGACATAGAAAAAAGTACATTGCATAGCGCCATACAATAGAGGACATTAAAATGAGGAAAAAAGTTCCTATGAACCTGGGTCCGCAAGGCCTTCGGTTAAAAGATACGGGGTGTTGAATTTTATTGGAAAAATGTATTGAATAAGTACAAGGGCAATAATTTGAACATCTTCTAAAAACTTGATGTTTTGTTCTAATTAATCATATTTTTCATCACACCATTAACATGAAATTGTTGAAGTATTTATCATTGTTTTTGCAAAAGTTATTGCTTCTAGTGACTTGGACAAGGTATACCTCATTTCTTAAGTATAAAAGAAGGGATAACAAATTTTTTCCGTCGAAAATGACATACAGTGTATAGTGTATAGCAAAACAGTTACGACCGATTCAATAGGGATGGGACCCTGTAGCACCCTCTATCAGTCATCACAAAACTAAGATCATATTTGAATTTAGCACGATAAAAAACCCCTGTATACCACATTTCATCCATTTCTTGCGTCTCTGGCTAAAGATATTCAAAGAAAACCCCAAAAAAATTCAAATTTCAACACCCCGTATCTTTTAACCGAAGGTCTTGCGGACCCATGTTCATAGGAACTTTTTTTCTTATTAGTGTGTGGCACTATGCAATGTACTTTTTTCTATGTCACCCTGTATATATATACCTAATCGAACTAATATAGTTAGAGTTCGTCCTGATTTTTTTGTAATAACAAAAAACTAAATCATGAATAAAAATATCGTATTTATCTTTGAGCGTTTTTATGTTTTATTTTTATTCAAAAGAAAGATAATACGAATTCTCGTAAATAAATTGATTAGGTACCTACGATACGTATAATGAACAATAATGGGTCAAAGAACATACAATAAATATTATCATTTTCAAGTGTTCACTGCTCTCTCTCATGCGCCCATCAAATTATTTCGTGGAATCATGTAGGTTCAACATTTTGCGAGCACTTCTGGAAAAATATCAGGAGGCGGTATAATCTAAACCACTTTTTCGATACCATTTGAATTCCATCATGCCAAGAATGAAAGTTGAAACATAACTGGAGAAACAACCCTTCCGATCGATTGCCACCATGCAATAATTTACTTGACCAGGAAGTTAGTTGAGCGACATATGCATATGTATATGGTTTCGCCTCATATATTACTGTATATAAGTATATAAATCTTCAATAATAATTGTTGAAATGAAATTTTGCATCACCACGAATCATATATTGTTGTAGTCTTATCATATCTTCCTGTTTACACAACATCTTGCCCTATGTAAAAATGTGTAGCAAAAATATGTGGCGCCATAGGTTTCTGTGGAAAGCGGAATATCGAAAGTGCATGTATTTCACGATAGAGATGTCAAGGATATAATTGTAAGATGAAATTCATGTTGACTATTGCTCCATTCCAATTATGCACAACCGTTATCAGTGAAATTATCTGGTGATCATCAAAATTATGAAGTCATACAAGTACCTACCAACCAATTCCTCACTAACTATATACATTCATAGCTATATAACTACTATAGGTACATCCTACACGCCATACATCAATTCGCTAATGAAATATGCAATTATAATTATTGGAATAAAGTAAATAGATATAGACGCCATAATAATATCATTGTTTGGATATACTTTAATTATTTATAAGTATCGCAAACACTATTATGCCTCATCATTTCTTATCGGTGCATCTTTTCGACTCCATTAATGACATTTTATTTAATTTTCTCCTTAACCGTCACAATAAACTCTATATCGAAGTAACTGATGAACTTTCTTTATCTTTGAACTTCAGACCTCATTTCATTGTGACCAATCGCATGGGCGTCCGTCCCATTATTATAGTTCCCTTTGGAAAACATCCAGGTAGGTACCAATAAGTATGCTCAATATTGAATAATCACCTTTTCGAGAAAGTAATGAACAACTGTAAGCAACAATTACAGATTCGAAAATAATAACGAAGTAAAAAACTGACCTCATCTTCAACGTGAATTCCATGAAGTATTCAACTGTAAATTATGAAACCACTAACGATGAGTTTTGAAAAGGAATATCCTCAGATATTATCAATATGAAGAAAAATGGGAACATTTGTTGAGACACGAAAATCAGGTACCTATACGAATGATTTTTGGAAGATTCAACCTCATCAACAATTTTATTTCAAGGAATATCTGGTGCTGTCTGGGATCTACGAGATCTAATAATTGAAGTTAACAGAGTGAAAAACGTAAGTAATTTTCACAAAATATTCGAAAAATTAAACAAAAATTGGTAGACAACTGGAGCAAAACTAATTTCCTGGCATTGAGAGCACAACATTCAATTACATACATGCATACTGATCCAAAAAGTCTGATTCTGTTTAAATTGGAGCCAGGTACTGCTTATAACCGCCAACAGACTGGGTTTGGACTCTCCATCATTGTTGGACAGTCACCAGACAACGATTTAAAGATCTCTACGTCTGAATATTGTCTGAATATAGCGAACACCTGACTAAATAAAAACTCATTTATCTGGAAATTTCTCAATCAATTTTCTAGGTTCATTTTGAAGAGGATATCCCTATTCATTCAGAGAGTTGATTGTATCAATAAACGATAAATACAAATTTGAATATGTATTATAGGTATGCGCATGAACTGAAATCTTCAGAATCGTACTGCCTACGCCTATGAGTATGATCCAGGAGAAAGAAGGCTACGATTTTGGCGCTAGAGGCGTATTTATTTTGAAAAAAAAAGTTGTACGAAGTACAAACAAAAAGCAGTCAATATCGATTAGGCTTTGATCACATTATTCTGTTTGTAATGTTGTTGGGGTAGAGTTATTGAAGTGAAGTGATCAACTATGGTAGTTCGGAAATATCTTTATTTAAATTACTTGATTTTTATGGAACTGTCATATTTTTACGAACAATAAGTCGATGTATCTACATTGAGTACTTACCACCAACCTATTTTGATTCACAATTTCATTGAATTATTGAGTACCTGATATTATTGTGAAAATAATTTTTGGTGATTTAAAATGGTAAAATTCAGCAGGCGACAGTGGTTAACTCTTATCGTCATAGGAATAGCAGATTTTTGCAATGCAATTTGTGTATCTCTTCAAGCACCCTTTTATCCACAAGAAGTAAGTGAAATTCTAATGAAAATGCGTGAACTAAAATATTTATGAGCGCCTATCAGGTGGGTGGAAACTCAACAAAAAGTATTTTGATAGCAGATAAAAATGGCAATTATTAGTCTTTTACACTAATAAGGCTAAATTTCAAGCATATTTTTTATGAGTAGGTATTATACAAGGTGGCCCTTTGAAAACGAAACAGCGGCTCTATAGGTCGCCAGAGCCGGATTATGAAAAAACACTGGAACAACGACGTCAACTTTATTCCCGAGGGTGACATCGTTCTCAAATATTTTCAGCGCTGCGGCGTTGCCGCTTCTATCGAAAATTAGTTGAAGTTGAAGAATAATTTGTGAACAAATTGAATAACAATCATCTATTACAATATGTTTCATTTTCTGGGTAACTATGTATTTTGAGCAGATAAAAGAAATGATTCATGATCTGGATGACAGTAACAATTAAGAAATTTCTTCACCACAAAAAAATTTATTTGTATGACTGAAAAAAAATGAAACTGAAAAAAAACTAACTTAATCAAAATCCAAAGGAAAAATATTACAATAAATTTATTCAATTATAAATAAATACTTATAGACACAAGGAATATTTATATCCCACCAATATAATGTTTCATGATGACAGATTCAAATGTTCAGTATTAATGAGGGCACAAACTATTTTTATAATATCCTGCATAATCACAACTGTCTGCCTGGGAAATCTTGAGTGGTTCTTTAATATGCTAAATTCATTTAAAAGATCTATCATGTCCACTTTAATTTTCTTTTCATCCATCTTGTATAAAACGCCCATCCTGCTTCCTACACTTTTGTACATCACATCGGAAAATACCTGGGTAGAGGCAGTAACATTATTCTTTTCCATGTACTCAGTGAGATAGATCAATCCTTCAGGGGTCCTTTTGTGCGTCAGATTCAGATGACTGAGAAGAAACAGTTCTGCCCAAGAGGGAACACTGTTCAGGATTTCCGAATAGGCGATCACCTCAATATCGGCCATCTTGGCGGGAAATAAGCGGGAAACGAAGGAAATGGCCCCCTCCTTGCTGTAGCACACCAGACACTTCATGGTGTAGGTGTTGGGGTCCACATTCTTATCAATGATTTTTTCTCTGCCTGCAAACCAGCCCAGGCGATTTTTTGGGTCAGCATCCAACTCAAATATATTGACAAAGAACTGTCTGTTGTTCCCATGGCCAGACCAACTGATCAAATTGGTCAGGGCTTTGGCCACTTTTGGGACAGTTTCATGAAATACATTACGTGAACGAGCTTCTCCCATGCCAAAATCTATGGAGAGTCTCATGAAGGGGTCATTCAAGCGAATTTTAGTCAAGGTTATCAGCAAATCCAAAGGAAATATTTTTTCTTGAATGCTTACCGATTTCAAGATGTGCATCATGTGGATGGGCAATCCTAAATAGAATTTTGGAGACATCTGGATCACTTGAAGAGTGGACATTTGCCGTTGGGACTTGTCAAAGTACATGGCTGCCTTTTTGTAAGGGTCATCAAAGTCAATCATGTCTTGTATGGAAGTTGGGGCAGTAGTGGAGGATCCTACATTTGAAAAACTACAGTTACACTTACACCCATGCTGTTGCTGTGATTTTGACTCAATTTCTTCTCCAGCATCCTCTTCCAAAACTTGCACTTTCTGAGTTCTTGTTTTTCTTGTATAAGGTTTTGAGATTTTTTTATCTTCCATGATAAAATCTTCAGAAAGTGAAATTAATGAAGGTTGATCTTCCATGAGCTCATTATCCTCTGGCTCCAGATGAGACTCTAGCATTAACATAGGCCACATTTCTTCTTTTATGTCAATTTCAACTGGTTCTTCCTTAATCAACCCCTCCTGAGCTTGACACTGTACATCAAATTCTTCAGATTGAAATGTATTCAATGTAGTCTGAGGTTTGTCATCATCAGTATTTTTATCAACATCAACAAACTGAAAATGTTTAGGTCCATCCTGATCATTTTCACTATCAGATTTCTTTTTTCTTCTGTACTTTTTATGAGTCTCATGCACGAGTAAAGGTGAAAAACTATCATCCAAATATAAGCTTGGACAAATACTCATATTAACAAAAATTAGTTTGGATCCATAGCGCTTGTGGTCTCTAAAATTAGTGAAGTCTTTATGGACCTGAAAGATAATAGTATAATTCTTGTTTCTATTGAAGAAAGCAATATTATTAATTACATCAAAGTGATCCTCGCAACAGTATAGACGACCTATACATCTTCCTTCAACATTAGCTGCCTTCAACCACTGAACCCTTCTTGGATTAACTCTGGGCACTTCTATGAACGTTTTTTCAGTATTGCCACTTGTGTTAGGACAAGCTGGCACATAACATTCTTTTATTCTTTTACCCATCTTCAATGTCTGATCGCCAAATCATTTGTATAAATCAATGCATTCCAGCCATACAGTTATTTATTATGTTGTTTTGGGTTTGAGATTTCTGAAAATATTTTATATTTTCTGTACTAATGACAGCTGCCATTTAAATCATTCACTTCAAGTGTCAAAGTGACGTGTTTGACGAATGACATCGACATAACATAATATGGATAGAGAAGAAGGGATCACACCAGTATAGTAAGATGCGTTAAAATTGCGGCTGCCGAAAGGAGGAACATATACAGGGTGTTTCATAATTGAATGTCAATATTCGAGAAGACGATTCTTGGGCCCATTCTAAGAAGAAAGTTTTATATGAAAGTATGACCTAAACGTCCTAACATTTGAGATACAGGGTGGTATACAGCTCTCAAAAATTAATATAGCCTACTACAATGAGAAGTTATAATTCCAAAATACCATATACGAATACGAAGTTCATAAACTATGAATTGTATTTCTGAAATTTGATCTATAAGAAATGAAATCTATTTCTCTGATATTGTCATATTCACGATATATTGCTATAATCATGTAGTGAAAAGCTTTTTATTTTTTTTAGCGAAAATCGTGCATCAGATTGAAAAAATTGTAGTGCTCAAATTTGCTCAGAAATGTTTGGGAATCTCAAGAATGATTTCAATTTCGAGATTAATCAGTGGCGTACCATCAATAACTGCCAAAATAGAGAATTCCATACGAACGCCACTGGTGGCAACCAAAATAAAAGTGATACACTAACTGATGCCTCTTGATACATAGTACATGTATGCCAAATTCCATTAGAATATCTAAAGTGGTATTACCTATATTAATAAAAAACTATTAATTTTTGGGAACTTCGCCACCCTGTATCTCAAAAGTTAGGACGTTTAGGTCATACGTTCATATGAAACTTTCCTCATAGAATAGGCCCAAGAATCGCCTCCCTAAATATTGACATTCAATTATGAAACACCCTGTATATTGAATAATTTTCCATATTCGAGGATTCATATAATAATATCGATATCTCCATTTCTTCATTGATCATTCAGCATCAAGGACAGAAACTTTAAATTCAACCAATTCATTTAATTTGTACAAGGTGTGAATTGAGAATAATTCAGTAGCGGTAACATTATATTTTTTTCCAGGCTGAGAGAAAACACTGTACTGCAACTGAATACGGTCTAGTTTTTGGAATATTCGAATTTGTAGTATTCTTGATAAGTCCCATATATGGACAGCATCTTAACAAAATCGGACCAAAATTATTATTCAATGGTGGAATCTACACTACTGGAGTGTGTGCAATATTATTTGGGTGAGGAATTGTTTCAATGAAGTAGTATGGTATGAATTACGACTTCCTCATCATATCTATTCTATTGAGAATCTGTTTGACGATTATCACTGCAAATTATACACAATGGCCCATTGAAAACGAACCAGAGACTCTATAGGTTGCCAGAACTAGAATATGAAAAAATACTGGAACATATATGTTAACATTGTATCAACTACATTTTCGAGAGGGACATCGCTCTATAGTAGTTTACCTAACAAGTGCGGAAAGTGACATTTTTCCGCACGCGATTGCAGATTGCCGAACGACGCGTTAGCGGAGTAGAAAAAAATATTTTCAGTGCTGCGGCGTTACCGCTTTCAACGAAAAGTAGCAACAACTTTGTTATTTCAAATGAAACACTCTATATTTCACTGCATTTTCAGATCACACATGGGGTCTAGCGGGAATGATTACAGGAGAAATATAGGGTGATCAAAATCGAGATTTTTCTACTTTAGGATATTATTGTGTCAAAACTATTCATCATTGGTCAAAACGGCTCACATGTACCTATCTTTAACATTTGATTTAGTATATCTATACTGACATTTAATTGGAACGAATACAGAGGGTGGTTGAAGATTCAGAATCCTGATCACCACTGTATATCTGTTTCAATTAAATGTCAGTAGATGGCAGATCAAAAGTTGGGATCGGAACATAAAATCGTTTTAACCAATAATGAATATTTTCGACACAAAAATATTCAAAAGTTGAAAAATCACGATTTTGAACTCCCTATATTCATCCCCACTAGACCATAAGTGTGATCAGAGATTATACACTCCCCATAATCTCTGGTGTGATATATCGATGAAATCAACTCTTCAGGAAGGATCAAATAATGCAGTGAAATACAATACTGGTATTCCATTTGAGATAACAAAGATGTTTGCTACGTTTCGATAGAAGCAACGCCGCAGCGATGATAATTTTTTAGAATGATGTCCTCGAAAATGTAGTTGACTGGTTCCAGTGTATTATCATAATCCGGTTCTGGCGACCGACTGAGCCTCATCTTTTTCGTTTTCAGTGGGCCACTCTCTGTATATTGTAATTATGCCTTCTATTGTTGAACTTTTTTTGTCCCACCCTGATATAATGGTACAATTTGATTTCACATACAGTCTCCTAGATAAGGTGGAAGGACATTACCCTTTCATTATTTTGAGCTTTATAATTCGAATCGTCGAAGCTCTCGGAAATGCTGCTTTCCTGACAGCCAGTTTTGCCATTATAGCCAAAGAATTTCCAAATAATGTCGCCACGACTTTTGTAAGTACCTAATATGATAATAAGTAAAAATGTAGTCCATTCCATAATGAATATATTCATCAGAATGTCACATCTGATATATTGTCAGTTATTTGTTTGTATATCGTTCGGATGCTTGTATCAACTATATGAAATGGACTTTTCCGAAAGGGTTAGGTGCAATGTTTTTCGTACGAGTGTTCTTGTCCATATTATTTATGAAAAAAAAAAGGTTTTTAATAAACAAGATTTCATAATAATGTTACAAAATAACACATAAGACAGAATAGTTACATAGATCAGCAAGTTACTCCTACATATCCTCATTTTTAACAGTACTCTTCCAGCACTAGTGCTGTAAAGTAACGTTTCCGCACGATTTTATCGATAAAATCGTGCATAAAAGTAAAAGTCGTGCATGAAAGTAAAACTTTCAATACGGAAAATCGTGCGGAAAAGTTACTTTTTCGCACGCTCGTAGAAAAAATATCAATTCTTCCAACATTTCCATATAATTTTGTAGGCCTCCTTGGAGACATTTTTCGGCCTAGGTCTAATCGTCGGCCCGACAGTCGGTGGCGCCCTCTTTCAAGTTGGTGGATACACTCTGCCGTTCGCAGTAATGGGATCTGCTCTCTTCATGTCCGCCATTCTAACTGCCTTGGTATTGCCGAAACACGAAGACGGAACCGACCGGGAAGCAGGACGTAAGTTTTCACACGAAAAATCATCAACATATCCCTTCTCGCGATTCCAAGGAATACTTTTACCTACTAAAAGAAGTATTATGAAAGTTGATAGCATTTTTCCGTTTCGTATACAAATAGAGCTACGCGCCCAGTTGACACAGGCTTATGGAATATCCATTTCAAGTCCTATTCAAGGCGGGATATCCGTGGTCATAAAATGTATATCCTGAATACGTCCGTACCATACCTTTCAGCTGAAATGCTTTCATTTAGAATCACCAGCGTACTATGTACGCTGGGATCACAATAAGTTCCATGCGACCACTCAAAGGAAAGCCTTCCCAGACCATAGCCTGCTACTTTCGTGCTTATAATGCCAATTGAATTCATGTTATGCTATAAAATTGTTTCTGGAGAAAAAGGAAAGATAATGGAGTGAACCCAAGAAAGGAATGTTAGTGCATTTTCAATCTCAACTTGATAACTTAACTGTCACACTCCACATGGTATCTATTATAAATTTCATCAAAAAAACACGCTATAATTGCTGCACCCGGTATTTATATGCGAATACAGTTTGCACACCAATATGCAGAAGGAAATAATCTGTCTTTCAAAACAAAAAACGTCCAAATCGGACAAGTAGTTTTGTAGAAAATGTTTCCTAAACTTTTGGCTACTTTTTGGTGGTGCGTTAATTTCTTGGAGAAGTGTATAAAAGGGTGTTTCTTCAGTTGTTCAAACTACTATTGTTTTCCATATTCTCGGCCCCAGCGTCAATGTTCAAAGCTCTGCGCATTCCGGGCGTCCTTTTGGCGTCTGCCAGCATCGTGGTGACGTCGATGTCGATCGGCTTCCTGCAGGCCACCCTGGAGCCCCACTTGCGGCCCTTTCGGCTCTCGCCCGTCGTGCTCGGCCTCATGTTCGTCATCAACGGCGGCGTCTACGCCGTCACGGCGCCCCTCTTCGGCTGCCTCTGCGATCGAGTGTGCGCGCCCAAGGTCGTCACCGCCGTCGGGACGCTGCTCGTCGCCGCCGGGTTCTGCGTCATCGGGCCCGTGCCTTTGCTGCCCTTCCAACAGTAAGTGGATATCGGTTTCAGTGTTGCCACAGACATATGTTTTTCGAGCGACCTATGCGGTCAAAAACGAGCGAGATTTCAACTCAACGAGCAAGATTTTGTTGATGAAATAATATATGAATGAATAACCCCGGCACATTACTCTGTTATTGCTTGGATACCAAAAGAGATATAAAAATATCAAGTTTTTTTGACGTTTCCCAAAGTGGTTCCACCTATACGACCATAGCTCGCAACTCGTCACTGAACTATGTCTGGTATATGCGCTGATATGGGCCGATTGCATGAATCATTTGACACGAATTAATATTCAATCTTCTGCCATGAGTTTCTTGCTCGTTGAATTAACAGAAAGCAGGTTAATGTTACCGACTCTTTAGTATCTGAATTACGACCAAAGATATGAGTGGCAAATTAAATTGAAGAAATAGCATCAAATGCTGAATGATTATTGCTGGATTCCGAACAAATATACATTCAAATTGCACCTAATTTGTTTGGCCTACTAGCCAGGGTAAAATCAGTAAAATCGAGCATGATTCGACAAAGGGAGAGAGTAAACTAGCGACAAAACGAGCGAGATCTCGCTCAATCGAGCTAGCTGTGGCAACGCTGATCGGTCTACACCCAATGAACTCAGATTGTCTACACCACAGAACTCATAACCTTTATATCTTATGACTAGAATCCAATATGGCGGACGAACAAATTATGCATCAGCTGTAAGTGAACCACAAACAGTAGCGGATGACGATGAGATGAAAGTATTATCACATGAATTTTCGGAAAATCAGAAGATCACTATAGAATTCGAATGGATAATTTTGATGATATGAGTAAATAGATATGCTTCTCATTTTTTGCACTCTACATGTCTGATTTTAGTTTTTGAGAAAGGAATTCACTGCACAAATATAGGATATATTTAAAGTAAAGCATTTTTTCGAATTATAATTTTTACACATTTTATACCATATTCAATAGTCATAGGTCATGGTTCAAATCAGTGCACCGCATTCGATTGTATCTAATAACTGAGTTCATTTCAAAAGAATTCTATCACTTCAAATTCGCGATAGAAAATAAGCGTACGCCACCTATCGGAGTTCTTGAAAGCTGTCAAAGCGGCCTATTTACTTTATGTTTTTATTGGTTCACATTTGTTCTTTGTTTGTGCTTATTGGTCATATCAAAACACTCCACTCAGAAGTGTTCGAGTTGTTGCCGTCAGATGGGGCGACGTGTTATTTTCTATCGTGAATAGTGACTAAAAGGCTATATGCCAATATAAACTATAAAATTCATCATTCAACTGTTCACAGAATTCACATGTCAATAACTTACCTTCAGTTCGTATTTCATTATGCTGGAACCTCTGAAGAGGATGATTTCATTAGGATGAGAAGTATAAGGTATCTCATTGAAGGTAACACAAATCACTCATAGAGAACATACAAATACACCCCAAATCGAATGGTATTTTCCTTAGACCGGTCTCATTAAACTTATCGAAGAGCTTTCACAATCTATTCCTGATGGATCAAATCTCACCATGCATTTGGTCGTGTGATAGACAGTATTCGTTTTAAAAAACTCCATAATAAAGGTAGGTCAAGGGTCAAGAAGTAATTCTCCTACCTTCAAGAATAATAATCAGAATTATGGAACTCTAACCTGCTTATACATATATATATATCAGAAGAAAACCTTAATTTTGATGATACTTTCGAAATTCTAAGTAGAAAATAAAGGAATAAAACTCAATCATTTTGAATCATCAGAAATCAACAAACTAAAAATTTCTAACATTTTACTCAACGATCAACTAGAACTCAATAGTTCACCTCTGTTGAATTTGAGAGGGTTAGAAAACACAAAATCATCTCCACAACGTTGAATTTGTTTTCTTAGTAGGTAATAATATGTATTTACTATCAACCCTTCCAAGTTAATCCGGTACACCGTATTTTCATGTAGATATTGTGCATATTTTCCGAAAATGAAGGTTTATCAAACCTTTCCACAGGTTAATATAATCCTTCAGTTTGGGAAAGTAGTATATAGAACAGTTAGGCAAGCCAAGGTTAGTTTATTTCATTGCACCAGTTTTTGTGAAGAATTTTGTGGAAATCTTATCGTTTGTGAAGTTTTTTCATTTGCTATGGATTTCCATTGAGTAACGGTCGAGTCAATTCAACAAATTTGAATAATTTGGATGATATTATGAAAAACGAATATAAAACACGAGTGAAACTGTTCTTGAGCAGAGGGATTTCATATTTGCGCGAGCAGTAGTAGTTAAATCGTCAAGCTTACAATCTTTTGATTTTCCAAAATTGTTGTAGAATTTTTATCTAACCCTTTATATTTATGTTGAAATGGATGTCATTATGTCTATAACATTTTTCAGAAAATTGTGGATATGTATTCTGGGGCTGGTTTTGCATGGTTTGGGGATGGCCGCACAACTCGTGGCATCATTCACAGACGCTCTCAGGACTATAGTGTGAGTATTTAATCTATTCTATTGATGCTGGTCATACGGCGTGTTAAATAATTATATTTCTTGGAAAAAGATGAGTACAGCTACTCATACTTTCAATATTAGGAAACTGGAATATAAGATGTGTTTGAATCATAAGACACACAACAATAATTTTATCATCTCCGATATTGCTCTCATACGTCATCTACAAGACATGGAATGCATTGAAACTTATGTGAATACGAAGTGAGGTTGCGATGTTCCTGCATTATTTGCTTAATGAAGACATTCTCGAAAAACACCCAGGCACGGACGATACGAAGTTGAGGCATCTCAATAACGATTATTAATGAATTTGCCTGAGAAAAATTCGCTCCTACGAATAAATAAACAAAGACTGGTATCTGACATGACTTCCAACCACACCATCAGTGCCACTTGCTTCTTCGAGCTATCCAGCTTACCTGCCATATACATTCTTTGACTGGAATAAATTCGCGAGACACGTTAACGTTTCAATGTATTTAACAACATTTTGTGAGCAATACGAAGAATATTAACCTTTCAGGAGTAGCCGGAATCAGCCCCAACATATTTTTTTCAATAGTTGCCGTATGGCTTGTGAGTCCCCATTAGAAGAGAAATCCAGTGTACTGATCAAATTTTAGTTTGAAGTACGTTTGAGTGTTGTATAAAATCAAAGCACAATTTTTAGCTTTAATAAATTTCAATGCATTTTCGTCGAAATTTTTTTAGCGATAAAGTTGAATAATGCATTTTCACCAGATTGCAGCAACACTTAGTCATGAACTGTGAATACGGTATACGAACTAAAACATTTTTGAGACTGTTTAAAAACACTGACATAAAATATCAGTTGTGCCAAAAAATTGCTATGAATTGTTCAACACACATTTTGAGCAATTGTTTTTTCACCAGCTTTATATAAAGTGGGGTTACAGGCCATAGAAGGTTGAATTCGAAAAAAACATGCTGAGGGTAGTATTAGATACCTCTGCAGGGATATATCCTTCATATTAGTTGCAAAATGTATGTAAGTACATCAAACAGGGTATCGGGTCACCCTGGCATTTTTAGAAAAACCGCCATAATGTGTTCAAATCCTAAATGGTTGCTTATTGTACCAGATTTCAGGGTGTTCCACAAGGCTTTGTTTTATGATCTTTATTATACTTACTTTATGTTCAAAATATCAGTGAAATTGGTCTAACGAGTAAATATACCATGTATGCAGATGATACAGTACTTTTAAATGAAATTAAGAATCCTTCAAATTTAGAAAATATGATGAAACTGAAACAGAATAGTTTCATCACCAACGACACACTTTAATGTAACATGAGTTGTCTATAGCTCTGTATATAAATATCAGTCTAGTTTCTAGATCTCGCGATATTTAGGGTCTAGTTTTTATGTTTAAGAAAAACCACTGCGGTACTCATTCTTTTCGAATTCAGGCTGTTCATTTTCGGTATTCGATTAAGTAGCAACCCTGTTGGTATTTGAAATCGCTAATTCTTGTTCATACAATTTATTGTGATTTTTACCTGGTGTTATGTTATTTCAGGTAAGGAAATCTGAGTGATCGATGTATTTTGTATATTCAATGCTTTCGATAACTGTGAAATTTTCAAATGTAATTGTTGAGAGTGTGATTTTCGGCACTACTACCTTTCTACTACAGTGTGTTATGTTATTTCAGACGAAGGTGATACTGAACAATTTCCCCCAAAACTGCCATTGAATAATAAAAGCCAAATCTCCGCCTATAATTCCGAATTATTTGTCCAACCCCACTAAACCCCTGAGACGTTCCGTTTCAAAACAGAATACGATTTTTCAACAAAAAAATAAACAAAAAATGGAGAGAAAATCCCAACAAAAAATCTGGAATAATGAATGTACCTCCTCGATTAACCTACAGACAGCATCTAACAAAATTTGAATCGAACAGCGCGCACGGCTTCCCCAACAACCTGGAAACCTTCGGCCTGGTGTCTGGTCTGTGGACCAGCACGTTCGCCTTGGGCGCCTTCATCGGCCCGTCGATGAGCGGCATCCTGTACGACGCCGCCGGTTTCCAGAATGCGTCGCTATTCGTCGTCGTGCTGCACGTGTTCGTCGGCTCGATAGTGACAGTCTTCTTGTGGCTGGCGCCGGACGCGCCGCCCCTTTCCTACCAGGAGCTCAAAGAGGAGAATCGGTCCGAGGCGCCCGAGGTCGACGACGTCAAGTCCTTGCAGCAGAACAGCGTCACCGAGAGCATGATCAGGTAAGGGCCTATACTGTTGTAAATGGAAATATTTCCATGGAAATGGAAATATTTCCATGGAAATGGAAATTATCATTAAAATTTTGAAGGGTAAGAAGTGGCTGTGAAATAGCTTCAAAAGGGAATTGTTGTTATAATATAAACACAGGAATTTTGACAATGTAACCAATAACAAAGGTGAAATACTGATGCAACAACCTTCAAGTGCTTAATTCTATTATTTAAGAATTATAAAGCAGCACTGGTGGTTTTACAAGGAAGGGGCAAGGGTTGAGTTATACCGTGAACAAAGCAGCTTGTCGACTTTCAGAAAGAAAATAGATTCTGTCAGATCGATATGTTACTTTTGTCCACCAAAGTAGTCAGGCGTAGAGCTCCACAATCATGCTCAAAGGTTCAGCTCGAAGGTTCGTACAAAATCATTCGATTTCCATAGATTTAGCAGTGCTATTTGGTTAGGGTGAAATCAACTGGTAACAAAATATTGGAACATTAGAAAATTAGAAATATTGAGAATATTGAAGATGTTTTGGATGTATGACAAATTGATATTCATCATACAGAACGTGGAAAGAAATTCATACATCCAAAAACAAAAACCACCACCAGATGACAAGGATTGAATGTCAACAAATAATTCTCAGATGTCAGTTCGTTATACTTTTAGTTATATTATAGAGAGATGAAAATTGTGTATATCATAAAGCATGGCTGGACTTCAGGTTACAGAGGAGGGTTTGGTATCCGAAATGAGTTAATTCGAATAAAGTCATATGACCTGTTTGTGAGAGTTTTAATTCCCATATCACTGATACGGATGATTTTTTTTAAATTTCAAGTTCATCAAGATCAGAGTTTATACAAGTATACACATTTAAATTTTCAATTCTATACTGAACATATTGGTAAGATATATTATTATCAATTATCAATGGTTCACTCCACAGGATGTCTTGAAAAATACCGAAAAATCCGTACTTTTTTTACACCCCTGTATATGATATAAAGACGAATCGTTTGAAGGTGGTTATTTCTCAGATGTATTGGTGAAGAATCAAGCTACAATTCGTGCAGAAAAAAAATTTAATCGAGCGATTGGTCCGAGAGAAAATTGATGTCCTTAGTGTAAATTTTGCCCGTTCCCCTAATTGTGCGAGTGTGTGTACATTATATTATTTATTAATTCTCGATTCCAGAGGATTTTTATTTTTCATGTTATCAAGTTACGATAATTAGTCAAAATTTCTTTCTGGAAGAATAAAAAAAACGGACCAATCGATAACAAAACTGTGATATTTTGTAAAAAAGACTTTGATAGTGAGTATGTTTCTAACTTTAAGAGCGCCCTGTATATATTTGACAAAAGATTTTCTGAACAACATGAAAAAATTGAATTGGAACAGCTTCTCCTGATGATAATTAATGTTCTACTATTGGTACTTACCCGATTATTTTCGTTTGACAGTAGTATTCGTTCTGTGGGCAATGGCATATCCATCGAGAAGAGCCGTCCACCAGGCATGAACAGCCTGATAGCGTGCAACAGCTACAAGAGTCACGCTTGGCCCCAAATAGAAGCCAACAGTCTCACATTGGGGCCCTACAGCCACAGTTACGGCACCGTCAATCGAAGAAACGTCGTTTAAGAATCTACCTATCAGTAACACTACCTGCAAAATTATTATTTATGTACCAAGGACGAAAAACTGTCTATTATAGTATAGTCGAGTCTGCAATCAAGCGAGACAATAGACAGTTTTTCGCCGAGGTGCAAATTACATTTTTTCGTCGACCTATCAAACGCCCTTATATCCACATCACGGTCCTATTCACACGTGAAATCTACCGGATTTTGTGAATTTGATTTACCAACAGCAAATGACAGTTGTCAACTCACTCTCCGCGCGTACCAGGGTTGCCAGTTCGAATTTTATTTCATCAGTAAATACCTTGACAAAAATTCAGATCTATTTTATGCTATACGAATTCCAAGAAAGGATAATGAAATAAACCCATGATGTAAAAACATTATGTACTTTTAGTAAACAGATAAGTGACTGACAACAGAGACGTATAAAGTATTAAATTCGATCTGAATCAGATGAAGTATTGTCCTTTTTATACATTCATTAGTACCTATATGTAAATTTATTACTAATTTTTTTAAATTAATTCAAACAGAGCGTGCCAAAATTGCAAAAATGCAATTTAGTATAAGTGTATGAGATTATCTGAAGATTGATATATTGATATAGGTAATAATAATAAATAAGTGTCAAAATATTTTTCAGTGGGCTATGAAATGTTTCAGTAGAACGGTAGATCAATATGCAAATCAGGAGATCTACTTAAAAATCAGTAGAAATGGCAACCCTGCAGCAGATTTAAAATATTTGCGGACGAAAAGTAGGTACTTGCCTTCAGAAATAGTCGGTTTTCCTTTAGGGAATTACAACGTAAAATGTGATTTTTTTAGAGGTCGACGAAAAATATAATTTTGTTTGTTTTAGCGTCGCAAGTCAATCGTTCGTCATTTTATTGTTTATAAGACTGGATGGGCCTTATGTACCTCATGATCATGCTTATCGTATCTTGTTAATTCTTCAGATCAAGCGTGGCTTCAATAGATACTAAAATTTACAGTGTCCAGTTTAAATGCAAAGATAAAAACAGTGTAGCTGTCACAATTACTAATCCTGACGAATGCATCTGTTTTTACATTGCAGGTAAGATAGCATTTTTCAGTATACTGGACAAATGTAAGTGAAACTAGGATGATTTTTCACCATTTCGGCCCTTGTATTTTTAAGATGTTAACGTACAATAAGTTACTACTAAGTACTGAGATAAATATGTGTGACTGTAATATATTGTATAAGAATTTTAAGAAAATCGAATGATTATTAATCGTTGTAAAATCCTTGTTAACCAATTCGCCGTCGAACAATCATATGGTACAATTATTATGTGATTATTATAATTATGAGAGAACAAAAATAAATACATTATTTTAATTCAATTGCTTAAAGAAATTTGATTCGAAACATCTGAACTCATCATCATATTAATTTACTAGTTTTGAGATAACATCTTCGATATACAGGGTGATATTTTGGAAACTTCCTACCTTCAATATCTTCTTTCCAGTTAATTATATTTCGAAAAATACCCTGTCAATTAGAAAACTTCTCACCCTCAATATCTACCTTCCAGTAAAAAATATAAAATATCGAAAAGATAGCAGGTCATTCGAACATGCCTGCACTGAGATGCATTCAAAATATTCCTACCATTTGGTCTGAAAGGAGAGTCAATACAATAATACTGACCTAAAAACCATGCATCTCAGTGCAGGTGTGTTCTAATTACTTGTAAGTGTAGAACGGCAATTTTCGAAAACTGCTCATCAAAAAATAAAAAACTATGGAACCTATTGTTGAAAAGAAACTTGAACGCCTTATTCATTTCACGTGTCCCCCTCGACAATATAATTGATTTGTCTTCTCGATTTCTCTAATTATTTACTGGAAGGAAGATATTGAGGGTAGGAAGGTTTCAAAAATGCACCCCGTATTTTGTGTAAGCTCGTTATGAAAATATTGGAATGGTCCCATGTGCTGATATATACCAAACAACCATTGGTAATTCAAAAGGTATATAAATCATATAAGTAAAAGAAAAATACAGTATCAATGTTTTTTTTTGTGAAATCTACACCTAGTACGTAAATTTTCCGTCCAGTCCACTCGGTGTACTCGAGTTTCTTGAAGGAGTCGAGAATTTGAAAAAATATACATTCTCCTTCAAAAGTTCACTCCCACATGAACCGAAATAAAAAGATAAACGTGCCTTCCAGAAGTAATTCGGATCCCGTATGGATCGAATAACGATCTGGTGGTGCCCAATATCGGTGTAGAGCCCACAACTCGGTGCTCAACTGCTCACTGTTCCCAGTGAACGAAACACCAGAGAAACAAAGAGATGGCGCGGCTAAGCGGGCCTCCCTGTAAATTCGACAGGTGAATATTATCACTCTTTTACCTGTGGAGTGCAGACCTCTCGTTTTGTCCGGCAGCAGAGCAAAGCACAGCCTCCGCAGAGCCGCAGTTCGCTAGACGACGGCTAACAGAAAGAAGTGGCGGGCATACCAAAGTCATTCGTAATTTCATCGAGTAAAAGTCGTTTACAGAGGAAGTTCAGTGTCCAGACGTTTTCGGTGGTAGATACTTTACGTACAGTGGCTGTGACCAGTGCCTAACCATCCCCTGAGGGATATTAACGTTTTATGGGGAACGAGATAGGCTTATCGACACAGGTGAGGAAGTTTCGCTTTTGTTCGCGAGGGCCTGTCTGTCCTTTATGGCCTCAGTCTTCAGTCGCCACTTACCACATACCCTTACCTCATGACTACCTACGTTAGATAGTTGATGCTTATTTCACAGGATCTTGACCAGCGGATGTGCGCTGTCCGCTGACCTAACATTTGAACCACCGAAGACGAGGTTGCACATCTCACATATTCGTCTCGAGAGGTTACCGCTGGGTAATTGCGAAAATACCTACACTGATGTCAGAAGTCTATGAGAAAGTTCAACGTAACCTAAGAATGGTACAATATGTTCATGCAAATGCAGATTGCGCCGCTATTCATTATTGTCGAGGCATAATAATTTGTTGCCTTCCTGACTAACTCGCGCAGTTCTATCTGATGATGCTCCTCGTTTCCCGTACAATTATTCGCCTCCAGTGAAACATAACAATCACTTTATATATTTTCTTTCGCTCTTGCCATTGTTAATTGAATAACCAATGATCGTAATAAGGTGGAGTTTTATCAATTGCATCAGACCGTCAGATGTAAAAAATGTACGGCTATAAACTCGGTAGGCTTATAGAAGGTCATTTCCTTTCGAATTCAAATGTTGTCACCTCTATTAGGTACATTTCGAACGAATAAAATGGTCCATACGCAGTCCAGTAAGTTGGAACAGCTTCTAAAAAAACATACCAGTTGTCTAAATAGAATATCGTGAATTATGGAATTATAATAGGTAATAATAATCAAGCCGCCCCCATCGGCTCTCGTTTTGCTGCTCTCGAGACAGCAGGCTGATGCTAGTAATGCTATTATGAAAGTGATCATCTTGTTGGCACGTCGGTATAATCAATATGCCATTTCAATTTCTTCTCTTCGTCGCATAAGACCTCGGTTACGCCGACATTTTCTAAACGGTTTTATTGTCACTTTTACTTGGCCTACCTATGTCTGCACTATGCAGCAGAGAATGCGCGTGCATTCCTTATTCTTAATATATTCACATTTGAATGCTTCATAAAATACGCCTGAACATTATTCTTTTTTTTTTTCTCTCTCTCGTACTTCCTTGAATTTGAACAAACTCGGTTGTGGAACCCAAAGGCTGTCGCGATCACCTTTCGCCTTAAGAAGTGCCTCAACAGTCCACTTTTTACAAGATCGAACAATGCAAAATAGTCAAAAATGGGTTAGTAACAAACATTCATCTGGAAGCTATAGATAGGTATACCTATTATTTTATAACCCATACGGCCACTAAATGAGAAGTAAATTCATCAGAACAATCGTTTTATTTCTAATTCCATCTCGAAATTCTCGAATATTTTCATCAACAGAAGATTATGGTGCGATGGTTTAATGCTGCCAAATATATTATCAACCACATAAGTAAACAGAAAACGAAGCCATAATTTCTGCACTACCGAGCATTATAATAAATAGATAATAACCTTCACAATGTGAAATTAACAACAGATCATGATGGTTATATCATGCAGTAAAGTGTAACAGTTGATAATACCCTAATACTGATGTGTTCCACTAAATAAAATTACATACAATACTTATATCATTTCACATCACATGTTTATACCACGTAAATTCTGAAAATCTCTTCCACATTTCCTAAAAATTGTGAAATAGGTACTCTAAAATAACTCAATTTCTAGATAGAAATAATGATTTCATAGTTTTTGAGATCTAGAGAAATCAATGAGGCGCGAGAGAATAAGTAGAAATGTAAATAAGTACCTACTGCTATTGCAAATAGAAAACGTAGTTGATAAATTTAACACACCAACACTAAAATCTAAAATCATTAATGATTTACAATCATCACGTTTCTATTTTCAACTAATTGTATTGGGTATTATTATTCACTTTTTCGAATATAATAATTATAATCTCGATTATAGCCAAATACACTATAAATAAATTTCGAATGGAATCTGTAACTATTTACAAGGAATAAAATGGGCAAAAGGTGAATCCAGCCATTTCTTTCACGAGGTGTTAGGTGCTTAATTATTTCTTTGAACAAATCGAAGAGTGTATGACACACGTAATGAATAAAGAGTGTTATTCTAAGCTGAAAATTTCCAAAGGTTTCGTTACTTTTTTCATTCAGTTCATTTCTATATTGGCTCGACCTTGGTATGGTTCTTGTTCTTCAGTTCTTGGTTGTCGGATAACAGGAAACACGACAATTCAATTCATTCAGATCGTTTTGATGTGATGTTAAGGTCATTAGCTCAAACTGATGAATGAATAATTTCTCATTGGAAATATAAGAATAGCCTATAAATTCCTTATTGTGTGAAAAGTTCGATACTAAGCCAAGGCAAGAGGGTGGTGGTAGAGTCACTGTATGGTATTATAGGTGATGGTAGAGCAAACAACCCACATTATTAAATAGAAATATACTTATACGAAATGAGTAATGGTTTCCACCATAAAAACTGTACCAATAACTAAATTATCAATGCAATAATCCATTATTGAATCAAAATTAATTTATGGTCATTTCCACCTGTAATAAAAACAGCTAGTCTAACATTATCAGTGTAGATAGCACTTATCGGTGAGTATGAGTAAAACGATAATTGGCAACGAGCAAAACGCAAAAAAACTACGAGAAGTAGAAACGATTTCGTGGGAAGCACGGAGTGAAAATAAAAAAATGAATCGGCTCGTGTTATCGTGAGTCATTTCGGTAGGGAATCTGTAATATTTTCTTCGTGGCCATGGCTGTAGAGCCGGTCTCCGAAGCGGAACTACCTGCGGAGAATTCACTATTCGAGGAAGGTGACCGTTAAAAATCACCAGACGAAGCACTAAGCACTCGGTCGGCACTCGTCCACTTGTCCATTGTGCCAGTCACTGTCGATTTTCTTCTTTATTACTCCTACTACAAGCACAATACAATAAAAGCAGGCGTACCTGAATCTTTCAACAAAGAAATAATGTCTTATTACCCAAAATAAGGAATTCTCCATTGATACTTTTCACTAACTTTTCAGTATTTTTACCTTATCGTTGTTTCATTCTCAAGATTGTTAAATTTGTTTTTGGCATAGAACGACATTCGTTATTGAGAAAACCTAATCTCGAATCTGCGATTAAAGGTCTATAAAAATAAATAATAATAGTAATAATTATAAGTTTCCATCGTTCAAGTTCCAACCCCTTGATTGGGTGAAAGTATTGAAAAGGAATATTCTCAGATAAATTATGAACATCAAAAAATGGATATATATAAAGAAATACATTGAGAATTCGCATTCTCTATGTGATGAAAATATCAATTCTTTCTTGGTTCATTCAACAGAAAACACCTATACTTTCCTGGCTATATGCCACGACGAACATTGAATTATATCTATTGAACACACACGATAAGTTGAGAAATTGCATTCTCCTTCAGATAAAAATATGTATATGCACATTATATCATTCTGAATATTCAACAGAAAACAACGACTTTCCTGGCTATTTGCCACGTCGAACATTGAGCATCCAAAAGAAGAGTACGAAAAATAAGAATCCTCTAAAATTGAGAATTGACATTCTCCCTCAAATCAGATAAATATTATGATGTATTATGATATAAATATATATAACTTACCAAAATGTTCAGTATTAAAATGGAAATTGAAATGTATAGGAGAAGAATACTTGTATAAACTCTGATCTTGATGAGCTTGAAATTTCCAGAAAAATCATTCTTATCAGTGATATGGGAATCATACAGGTGATATGACTTTATTCGAATTAACTCATTTCGGATATCAAACCCCTCCTTAGTACCTAACCTGAAGTCCAGTTATTCTTGCGCTACTCGTAGGACATCAAACTTCACACACGGGGGGAAATGGATGCCTTTGCTCCCTCGATATATAAATAGTTATAACTTTTTCAATATAAATATTTCGAGATTATCACATCCATTGATTCATGGACACTTAGAGGTATATAATATCATGGGATTCGTTGTTTACACCGTTAAAATGCAGATGTCATGCATAATCAAACAAACGATCGAAAACGTGCAACAGTCGATTAGAATGCAGTAATAATTTCTTCGATTTTTGCAAGAGAAAAAACAGCGACAAACAACCGACTGGTTATACCTATATGTAAAAGTTGGTAAAACGGAATTTGTATCATGGTTTCACTTTCTTTCCAGTCTTGCCTTACGATGGAGGTCACGTAATATCATGCACAGACCGCAATAATTCGAGACCGTGCAAAAAAATCACATCAATTATGAAATAATGTGCAATTGCTTGATGAATAATTGGTTTCTTCAGGAGATCACCATCATTCAAATGATGGGATACAGTTTTGATAATGGGAAGTGGGAGTACATGTTATTCTTTTATCACTTGAAGCACACGAAATAAGAAAATACCTATACGTATAAAGTGATAATGTTCGAAGAACATCGTGCGTGGATAAGTCATGGATCAAAAGAAGTGGGGTGGTAGGGGGGAATCATTTGCAATCAAACTAACGATATATGTGGTTATCAAATTGTTGATGGTTCGAGAGTTATTAAATTTTTTTTAATAAAGCGACCCATTTGAGAAAAATTAATATCAGAAAGGCTGTTTTGAATAACCCCATGTGTTACACCATTTCTGAATCTGTATTAAATGGGCAACTTTTTCATATAATTGGTTATTTTCGTGTGATAGTTTTTAAATCTGCCAGCGGCATTTAAAAATCAACTGAAATATTTCATTCAATGACAAAACTTTAGGAAAACAAAATGTTTCTCAGGTAATTAATACGAAGTATTATATAATACTCGTCCTATCACCGAAAAAAAATAGTGTATTATACACGGGAAATATATTAGATTTTAGTTGAGGGTTAAAATTTACAACTTTTTTCCCTTGTATAATAAATAACTATTGTTGCTGTTCACTAAGTTAACAATATAAAGTTGAAAATAAAACAAATAACACTATTTTCAAAACTATGAGTAATTAATTCTA